TCGAATTTCAACATGGAGTAAGATATATGGCTATATTATTGAGAATTAAGGATTTGATTATTGTTTTGATAAATAATCCTATTATGTTTTTTACATCACTTTCTATAAAAACTTAAATTGATGCAATTGATAGTAGTATAAACACTTATAAAATGAATTATAAACTTAATTATGAAAATTAAGATGCATCAACTCACGTAAACAAAACAATTATTTAGATTTTAGAGGTGATAGAGCTTAGTACAGAGAGAATAGATAGAAACGATAAACTAGAGTGAATGGATTTAAAAAAAAAACATAAAAGTATCAAGTCAAAGCTCCTAGCAGTAAAAAAGAAATTTTTTTTGAATGAAGTTGGTACAAGAAGTCTTCATTTGGCCTCTATTATTTTCAAAATACATTTTTTTTCTCTCTTAATTTTAATCATACATTATTCAATAAAATAATCTTACACGCAAACTCCAAACTTTTTCTTATTTTTTAACCACACATTCTTCATCAAAATATTATTCAAAAATGTATTTTTAACAAATAATGGGGCTCAAATAGGCGCTAAATTAGGCTGTACAATGAATTTTTTTTAGCATTAAATTATAATGCAATGTATTAGGGTAAATGATATAATCGATTAATGTGGATAATATTTTTTTAAAAAGAAATTTATTTAAAAGATAGTTATTTTCACTATCGTCTATATAACATAATATGAAAGTTGAACGTGAGTTTAGATTGGATACAAAAAAATAACGTAAGTGACGTTCTTTTGCATGAAAAAATATAGAATAATATCCATATTAGGGTGTGTTTGGGATACATTCTTTTGAAAGAATGTATTATTGAATAGTAGATTAATGGAGAATGTGTGATTAAAAATGAAAGAAAAGTTATTGATGTGATGGAAAATATTATTTTATTGAAGAATGTGTGGTTGAAAATGAGTAGAAGAACAAGAATGAAAAAAATAATGTGTACCAAACGGGGCCTTAATCCAACATAATAACTTGTACCTAGTAATAACTATTATAATTTTAAATTAAAATCCTTACACGCTCTAATCTGATGTGCCAAAAGTGACCTCAAAGATTTACATTTTTTGGGCCAACTTGAGTCCGAAAATCTTGACTCGATATTAAAACATCATATTCTTACTATTAGTCAAATTAAGTCTTACTTGACAAATTTAAGACAAAGACATCACCATCATACTCTTCATGACTTCACATATTTTCCTAAAATCAATTTTGACTACTTGTGTGGAAAACTTTGTACCTATGGTAAGCATTATTCTTGTATAATATATATTGTTGGAGAAAGACAATCATGAAGTAATGTAATTAGCCAAGGAATTTTTTAGTTAAATAAGGGCCAATCAGTGTAAAACGAAAAACATGTGGTGCAGTTTGACATAAATTTAATAATTGGAGGGCCAATTCAGTTTCCCTATTTCTTTCTTTACTAATTTAAAAAAATCGTTGCAAACGGATAATGCGATCAACTGCGACACTGCTTTTCTCCCACACTCCCAACTCGAAACCCCACAAAATTATATAGCTCTCGGCGAAAATGGCTACCACATCCTCGTCGTCATCTCTGTTATTCACAAGCTTCCTGCAAAAACCCACCAAAACCTTGACGACCCACCTCTCGGAACTCAATTTCTGGTCCCTCAAACCGCAAATAACCCCTTTAAAGTTCGTTCACAAATTGCCTTTTACTGTGAACCACAGAAGACTCAATGCAGTGGCCGAGGACACGACAGTATCCACTGTAGACATGTCATCCGAGGCCGCAAGAAGACTGTACGTAGGCAACATTACGAGGAACGTTACGAATGATGAGCTCCAGAAAATCGTTGAAGACCATGGTTCTGTTGAAAAGGCCGAGGTTTTTAGTGGCTCGTTATTTTTTCAGATTATTTTACGGATGAATTGATAGTATTGCTTTCTTCATTGAGTTATAGAGACGGTTGATTGTTTGGAGAGTTATTTATAATGTTAATTTGACATTTTTACAGGAAGAAAATTAAATAACTTCTAGAAGATTTGCATTAATTAAACATTGTTAGGGAAGCTTGAGTTTCAAGAATTATGCGAATGACTTTTCTGGGAATATCAGACAGTTTTGCAAAATTAGTCATAGACCAAAGTTAGACATGGTTAAGTTGAATGATGAATACTGTGGAAATTATGAATTGAAGTTTCCCAAAGGCAAATATTCGGGATTCTATGAGTACAGATGTGTACATTGAAACTCGTTGCTTATGGATAAAGTACCTCAAAAACAACAAAGAGGTGAGTTGGATACCCAATAACGAGAGATGTAAATAACAGCTCCGATTATACTTTGTTTAATAGGATATTTTTGGTGTAGAAAGAGTATAATGTTGCAACTCCTCAGTTCCAGGTCGAGAAAAACGATATACATATGCTTTAATTTGTGAGGAGTGACAATTGCTGCTAACTGACAGACAGAAGTAAGATGGGAGGATTATAAACCTGCTGGAAATCACTTGCTATTAAGACAAAATAGGAATGTACCAATTATGATGTCTGTTAAATGGAAGAATGTTTATTAAGCTAAGAAGTCAAATGGTCACAAACTGCACGACAGAACCCCCAAACTCCTCAAAGAAATGAAAAACACAAAGTGATGAGAATTTTCTATTTTTGTGATGGAAGACAAGGAAGAAGTGGGACTTCAATAAATATATTGTATTGTAGTATGACATGACATTTACCATGCTGTGTTGATAGGTAATGTATGATAAGTACTCTGGAAGGAGCAGACGGTTTGCTTTTGTAACAATGAAGACTGCTGAGGATGCAAATGCTGCTATTGAAAAGCTAAATGGCACAGTAAGCTCGTTCTTTATGGTCTTGTTAAAAAATTTCAAGTTGATAAAGTAAATAATGACGTTCTTTTGGTTTTATGATCATGTTATTGGAAATTATTTATTGGCTTTCTGTTCGTGAAGGAAATCGGAGGACGGGCAATCAAAGTTAATATAACTGAAAAACCATTGCAATCGATGGATTTGCCACTTCTTCAGGGGGATGAATCCCAATTTGTTGACAGTCCCTTTAAAGTTTACGTGGGAAATCTTGCAAAGACTGTAACCACAGACACGCTCAAAAACTTTTTCTCAGAGACGGGGAACGTTCTCAGTGCAAAGGTAACTCGAGTTCCGGGGACCTCAAAATCCAGTGGTTATGGATTTGTTAGTTTCTCTTCAGAAGAGGATGTGGATGCAGCCATATCATCTCTTAATAATGCGGTATGTTTGCTATACACCTTGTCTGAATGAAGTTGCGGCATTCTACTATTTGTGTGGACAAAACACTGATGCTGGAGTTTTCATCAATTTTGCATCCAACGCATTCAAGCATGTACATCAATTTTCTCTTGACATCCACTCTCATGTGGAATTGAAAATGGAATAACAAAAAGATTTAAAGTGCTTTGATTGTTATTGCAGGACTTACATTCTCACAATCGTAGGGTTAATTACCCCAATAGTCACTGAACTTTACCGAAAGTTTCCACCAGGTCACTGAACTTTAGAAACGAATGGGGTGATTTTTAAAGTTCAGTAATGGATGGGGTTGCAATTTTGAAAGTTCAGTGACTAATCACGTAGTTTTTAAAGTTCAGTGACCTAGTGAAAACTTTCGGTAAAGTTCAATGACTATTGGGGTAATTAACCTCACAATCGTATTAAAAAAGTTCTCGAATTTTTCAATGTAGATATTTTCTGTGTGAACTGACATCCGCTTTGTAGTTGATGCCTTTTTTGGTAAATTGCTAATGTTGTATAGTTTTTCATAAATCATAATCTATCTCTCATCAACTCTAAATAAATTTGGTAAGTTGTTGATAAATCAACAGATTAACGGAAGAGGCGGTAAATGGGCTAACAAAATCACAACTTGTCTCTATCAACAAGTTCAACACTACCCCTCAACTTACAGCTTAAATTTTCAAAATGCCAACTTGTAATGCAAGTGAAAATTGTCTTCCTCTAGATTTGGCAAGTATATTGGTTACTTGCAGATGAGAGGATGCATAGTGAGTGAAAATCTGTTGTGATTGGTTGTTTTCTCCAACAAGATGCAAATCCAATTCGATATGTTTAGTCCTCTTGTGAAATATAAGATTTTCTACTAAGGGCTTGTTTGATGTAGGTTTTTTTAGAATAGATTTTGTAAGGTAATTGAGAGCTAAAAAGAACGGATACTTGTAAGCTCATTACGTACAGGTACTCGATACGTATTTAAGCTCCAATATGTATCAGGTACGTGTTTTTTAATTATTTATATTTTTAAAATTTTTGATAGGTATCACATTATTTTTGATAGGTATCTAATATGTTATGACATGTGAAGAAGATTTTTATTGGTTTTAAACTCTTTTAAAACTTATTATTATCGACTATACATTGTCAAAAAAAATTTACTTAACATATAACTATTGTTAGTATTAGTAACTTATTGAAACTAGATAATGTTTATTGTAAATGCATAACTAGAGTTTTAATTTAATTGACAATTAGAGTTTTTTTTTTAAATTGAAAATACACAGTAGTATTAAACCTTTTAATACATGTAAAATCATTTTAATAGTTGATAAATATATTTTTATTATTGAAAATAGATAATAGTATTAAATCCCTGCTCAAAAGGATAATTCAAATTGTGGGACATTGACAGATACTCATTTGATACTTTTGAAGGTGTTGAGTTGCTTGAGATTGCTAATCCATTATTAGATGAGTTAGAGTTGGAGAGTTGTATATTTAATGATAATGAAGAAGTTGATATTGATAAAATGAAGTTAGGATAATTAAGATTAAGATAAAATACTTTAGTATTTTAATTTTATTTATCATGCTTATGTTTTAATTTTTTATATTAATGAAATTATGCTGAATTTTATATATTATATATATTTATCCGCATATCCGAATTAAAAAAAAAACATATATATATATATATATATA